CATAAGGAACGTACAGCTTTTACAGTTGGGCCCCTAGGATTTTATGAATATACAAGGATGCCATTCGGACTGTCCAACGCTCCTGCAACGTACCAGCGGTTGATGGAGGAATGCCTAGGGGACCTCCACCTTAGTATCTGCTTAATATATTTGGACGATCTGATTATCTTTTCAGATTCCTTTGAGGAACATCTTCGTAGGCTGGAAAAGGTACTTCAGAGATTAAGAGAATGCGGATTGAAGTTGTCTCCGAAGAAATGTAAGTTTTTCCAAAGGAGAGCTGTTTACCTTGGACATATGATTTCTGAGGAGGGAATTTCACCTGACCCCAGTAAGATCGAGAAGGTTCTTAACTGGCCAGAGCCCACGACTCCAGAGGAGGTACGTGCCTTTTTGGGCTTCGCTGGATATTACAGGAAGTTCATCAAAGACTTCGCCAAAATTGCTAAGCCGTTGAATGAGCTCTTACCTGCATGTGCAAAGGTTGGAGGGCGTAAGAAAACCAAGAAGAAATCTGATTTCAACTGGAATTGGGGCCAAGCTGAGACGCAAGCCTTTGAGAAACTTAAGGAGTGTTTGTCAACACCGCCAGTACTTGGTTATGCGCAGCCCAACCAACCCTTTGAGCTTCACACTGACGCATGTGGACAGGGATTAGGAGCAGTCCTGTACCAGCGTCAGGATGACAGTCTACGGGTAATAAGTTTTGCTAGTAGAGGACTCTCCAAGTCGGAGAGGAACTACCCTGCCCATAAATTAGAGTTCTTGGCATTGAAATGGGCTGTAACGGAAAAATTCAACGATTATCTGTATGGACAACGATTCACGGTTTTTACGGATAACAATCCTTTAACATACGTCTTGACATCAGCAAAGTTAGATGCCACCGGACACAGATGGGTTTCTGCTTTAGCTGCTTTTGATTTTGATATTCATTATCGTCCAGGCAAAATGAACACTGATGCAGACGCACTATCCAGACTTCCAATTACAATGGATTCGGTACATGCAGTTAACCAGTCCATCACCAATCCAAGGTCATATGTGGAAAGTCTGTGCTCTCCTGCACAGGTTGTTGATGTGCTGAACGATCCCAGTGTTGGTGAATTGGAGAGGATGACATCACAGGATTGGAGAAGAGCCCAACGTCATGATGTATTGCTACGACCATGGATGCAGTTGGTATCCAAGTACAGGCAGCCTAATCGTCGTGATTTTCCTACAACCAGAGAAAATTCTCAGATGTTCAAGATCGTTAATAGCTTGACGATGCGTCGTGGAGTTCTTTTTAAGGAAGTCAACAGAGATGGTGTTTATCACTACCAGTTAGTTTTGCCCTCTGCCTATATCAAGAAAGCCTTGAAAGGACTTCATGATGACATTGGACATCCTGGAAGGGACAGAGTGTTATCTCTTCTTCGCGACAGATTTTACTGGCCTAACATGACGAAGGATGTAGAGGAATGGATAAGTGAATGCCCACGTTGTATCAGAGCAAAAACTTCCAGAAATGAGCGCGCGCCTTTAGTTGGAATCCATACTTCTCATCCACTTGAGTTAGTGTGCATGGATTTTCTTTCTTTGGAGCAGTGTAAAGGAGGATTTGCTAATGTGCTTGTTGTCACAGATCACTTCACCAAATATGCTCAGGCGTTCCCAACTCGTGATCAAACTGCAAAGACAACAGCTACGACATTGTACAACAATTTCATTGTCCATTATGGCTTACCAAGAAGGCTTCATTCCGATCAAGGCCCAAACTTTGAGAGCGAAGTTTTAGCTGAACTGTGTGACCTACTTGGGATGGAGAAGTCTCATACCACCCCATACCATCCTATTGGAAATGGAATCACAGAGCGATTTAACCGTACTCTCATTACCATGCTCCGAACTTTGAAACCAGAGGAAAAGAAAGATTGGAAGGCATATATTCCCTCCCTAGTGCATGCTTATAATTGCACCCGTCATGAGTCCACTAAAGTTTCACCATTTTACCTAATGTTTGGTAGGGAGCCTCGTCTACCATTGGACATTGTGTTTGGTTTAGGTGGGCTCATTAAGGAAGAACAGACTCTCTCCGACTACACAAAGGACCTTAGAGATCGACTAACCTTTAGCTACGACTTGGCATCGGAGATGCTGTCGAAAGCTAAGAGGCGTCAGAAGGCGCATTATGACCTCAAGGTCAGAGGAGTACCTGTCAAGGTTGGGGATCGAGTTTTAGTAAAGAAGTTAGCCTTTGATGGAAAGCACAAGCTGGAGGATCTTTGGGAAGAAAATGTCTATACTGTGGTTAAACAGCCTAACCCTACTATTCCAGTATTTGTAGTGGAACCAGAAGTAACAGAAGGAAGGACAAGAACCTTACACCGGAACAACTTATTGCCCATAGGATACATTCCACGTGGCTCGATGCACCTGGATGATCCAGATAGTAAGGTTCAGCCTTCCACGGACAATCCAGACTTAACCCTTGCAGATTCAATTGACTCTGACAACGAAGATTTAGATGTCTTATTGGTGCCTTGTACAGCTGGCAGTTTGGAGTCAGAATGTGAAGAAGGCGATACGGCAACACAGGAACCAGATGACGATCTTGGCTCTCCAGTGCTTGCCTCTGGTCCGCCTGGTGACGACCAGTTCTCTGCTGAGGAGGGAGGACCAGTAGATGATGCCAATAATGAAGATGTTCCGAAGTCAGTAGTTGCATCTACTGGTGATCATGGTCAGGACACAGTTGTCATCTCAACTGACGATGTCTTGGACAATGGAGATTCTCTTAGAGATGAGGAGCATGTTGCGTCAGAGCGTCCCGTACCAGTACCTATCCCCAGAAGATCAACACGAGTGTCAAGACCACCGCAATGGCAATCGTCTGGGGAATTTTTGATGGGAGGAGTTAAGAGTACACACGCAAATGTGGATCCGTGGAAACTTAAAGCGGGATTACTTGAAAGTTTAGCAAGGCAAGGTGTGTTTTCTGGAATTCCCCCTGAGGCTACTACTACTGTCATCAAAACCATTTGCAACATGTAAAGTAGGCATCTGTGCTTATCTGGGTATTGATGTCTAGCTGTAGCAAATTGTCATGTTTTTATTTATTACTTGCGACTTGTGGTTCTTATACAATGTATTTGAGTATATTTGTCGCGAGTTATCGACTTTAATCTATTTCAACTGTGAACATTCAGTTATTGTTTCAGTAATATGTTTGATATATGATATATATAACTTGAGAGGCCATGTGTCCTCACAAATGTACATAATAATGTCAGCATTATGTTGTAAAGATGATCTCTTTGACGTTCATTATACCTGTATCATTTGAGACATTCACCCATGAAGACACATTTGAACCCTTCCAATTCAAAGGTTGGAATAGTTCATTATGGAACTTCAGTGGTCAATTAGTAAAGTGACGAGGACGTCCCTTTTCTTAGCAGGGGAAGGATGTAATAGGGTCGATTTTAATACCGCGTTAGTTCTGCTGTTTCGGTATAAATAGAGTTGCGCGAAACCGCACCTTGGCGTCGTAGACAAGAAGCCACTAATGTTATATATACCTGTGTATGTATGTCCAATTTACCTGTGTGACGTCATTGATTTATGTGTTCATGTATTGTGTCGTTTTGGTTCACGTGGTTGTGGTCAGTTTTGTTCGTGTTTGGCGGGAGTTAAATAGAGGCAGCCATTGCCGACAGGCGGACAGATGACAGTGTCGTTTTGATACAGATTTTAGCTGATACATTGTCCTGGTAATCCAGACGAAATTCTTACTAAGACCCTTGACCCATTGTCAGGGGTCTTTTCTGTATCATTAAATAAAAGACCGGAACCTGAAAGTGTATTTTCCCTCGTTTTTACATCTATTGTTTTCCAGTGTTTATATAATTCCTTTGATAAAAAAAAAGTGGGAGAAAGGAGAACAAACCGTCTGTTGTATGAGAAACTTCTTGCTAACAAATAGATTATTAGACATTCGAAATTCGGACTAAACGTAATTCCTTTTTGATATGTGTTGGCTAGAGTTATGCGTTTTTTAAGTGAATCCATAAATCTGAAAATGTAGTATTTGTATTCTGAAAACGGTTGCTGATCGGTATGTTTTTAATAATGGCCGCCATTAAAGGATTTTGGCAACGATTTTTCATAATATTATATTGTACGGTCATTTGATGCAATAATACGTGTAGTGACTCCCTCGGTACTCAGATGATAGATAGACAGGCCAGGTGACACTCCATCTGTTATGCATATTTTGAACTCGGTACGAGGTCACGTGATGTGTCACGTCACAGTGGCACGACTTTTCTGATGTCCTGTTCATTACATGAACCCATTCTAACACATGTCATATCTATATATGAATATTAATTAAAAGAGTTAACTCCTTCAATAGGTACATCTGTATGTAACCATTTTTCACATGGCTTAACAATATTACCTTTCCTGAAGACAACGATTGTTTTTGTCTTTGTATAATTTAGTTTTAAATTCCATTTATCAGTATAATTACTTAGATTAACCAATGACGTATAATACATTAAACGTATTATACGTCTCTGGATTAACTAAGCATTACTTGTACTTACTTATAAAGTGTCCTTGCAGGATGACAAATGGGAAGAACGTATGGTAACAATTGTAAAAAAACATCACAATACTTTTCAAAAATTTGAACCCATCCATCTAAATTTTCTCCTACAGTTTTTAATATTGAAATTTGTTCAGGGGTTAGGGTTCTGCTCAAGTGCAAACAACGTATATCTTTTGAATTACAAAATATTGTAATCGAACGCGCCTAAAATTATCTTCATCTCCTTCGTTTGTCTTAAAATAAGTTAACTAAAAGAAAAGAAAAAGAAGAAAAACTCACATGAAGTCATTTCTAAATTAAATTAAACATTTTAATTGTATAATAGGCGTTAATTATTTTATAGTAAAACTTAAATATTCGCTGCGGTCAACAGGCGGGCCTTTAGACACTACTTCCGGTAAAACCCGGCTGGCGAAGCTGAGTGATTGAGATCTGCAAGAGTTCTAAAAAACACAGGATGGAAAGCGAGCCGCCTATTGAAACAGTCTTACAAGCCTTACAGGCTCTTTACAACAATCCAGACAAAGCTGGAAAGGAGCAGGCATCAGTATGGCTCGGAGAACTTCAACGATCGGTAGGTTTGTTTCTTTGATAGAGCTATCATCTGGATCACGAGGATTTTTTTTCCACTGTGGAGTATTGTTTATCAAAGTAAATTGTTTCGAAAGCTGGTCAGTTTGGTGAGTGATACGTCTTCCTGTCAAATGTCGATAATGTGTATATAATACATATTAAAAACTCTCTTACTGAATCAGGCAACTTACAGGAATGGAATGATATTATATGGACATGTAAAACTCGCAAATTCTAGCATGCTCCTCTTGTGTGCGGTACAACAGATCCCACGTAAGCGAGACAGGTTGAACATTTTAAAACGACTGCATCATTAGAATCAATGATATGTGACTCTTGAAAATTTTATCTCATGTTAATGGTCAGCTACATATACTGCAAGAAATATAAAATAAAGTCAACTAAGCTACAACTTATGTTATTTTAACGGTTGGACTGTGGCAAATATTTTACTCATATTATAATTTTCGACCTCCATTTTCATGTACATAGCGCCACAGTTCCGGGATATTTCACACTCCGGCACCGGAGTCTTTCCCGTAAACGGAAGAAGAAGTATGCAACATACGAAAACAAAATTTATATATACACAGTTTCAGTATGATATGAGGATATAGAGTTACATTACACTGAATTTACTTTTATGATCAATAATATACTTTGTTTGTTTCTGCACTGATCAGTAAGCCTCTTCAAACTGTATCACTCAACATAATTATAAGAACATTTATTCAGGTAAAAGGCAGACATTACATGTTTGTCACATTTTGCAATTGAACATAAATATATATGTTATCACAGATGTTAATTATAAGTAAGAACTTGTAATAGAACTTGTAGTCAGTCAGTGTTAAAAACATGGATTTTATTCGATTAATTTAGGCCTTTACCTTTACCACAGTGTGGCTTAATTTCACTGGGGTCCCTTAGATCTAAATAAATAAATCAATTCACAAAACAGTAACATAACTATATAATAGAAATTGATATTTTGATAATACTTTAGGACACAACCACTTGTTAAAAGTAAAAAACAAAACATAAAATATTACAAAAAAATTGCCTACTTCGGCTCATATTTGATTTGATATATATATATTCTGATGCAGGTGATCGGGAATCTCTACACCTAACAAGCTCTCATTCATGCCAGCCATATACAAGATATCTTATGAAACTTAACATAATATTTCACATACTTGTGTAATGACCAAAATCAATAAATTAATGCTGGTAGTAATTATAATTGAATGATCAGTGTATATTCTAGTCTTGAATAAAAAAAACTACTTCACCATATAATTAATTTCCAGTATTTTGATACCTTTATCATGATAGCTTTAGAAAAAATGCAACAACATTGGTATGAACCTGTCATCATGTCTTAAGGAAAATACAATTTGTCATTCTTCTTCAAGTCACCTTCACTATGCTCCACATACAGAAATTTGGATAATGATTTTTTTACAAAATATATGGGACATTTTTTCTCATGATATCTCCAGATTTGTTTCAGTTGTACTTAGTATGGCATCAGTATTAAAAGAAATAATAAATCATTAATTTGTTATGTCTTTTTTAAGTACATTGACAATTTCTTTGTATATATACATAGGCCTGAAGATTAAGACCACCTGTGGCTAAGTACTATTGTATAAAAATTCTATTAGAGTTAGGAAGCAACCATGTTTAAAGGTTTGTAAATTGTATGATAATTCCAGATACCCTGGTAATTTGTTTTTAGATATTTTTTCAAATTTAATAGTATACAGTCATTATTACTATATGCTCAACGTTAACAATGTGAGATTTGTGCAGTGAACACTACTTCCTGGACAAAAATGCTGCGAGAAGTTTTGATGCACATTACCCTTCATTTTAGAAATGGAATGAGGGAGATCTCCTTCATTGGAGGTTTGAGAGATTGACACCTATGCATGTATTGGGTTTCTGAAGTATATTGGACACACTATTTTTGACATGGTTACAGGTATGTGCTTGGCAGATATCGGACCAGTTACTGCGACAGCAACACACACTTGAGTCCTGCTACTTTGCTGCACAGACCATGAGGACCAAAGTAAGTTACAGTACGGTAGTTAGACTTTGTATAACTATAAGCTCTGTCATGTTTGGTCATAGAAGATAACACTGAAGTTGTAGGGATGGACCATTGGTTTAAAATCAAATTTGATAATCAGTTTGTAATCGGAAGTAGTAAGGAAATGTTTATAATTATGTTGTAGGTTGCTGGTATTGTTATGTAGAACTTTCTGTTTTGTATGTACCATGTATTGGTAACTATACAAAAGGTGAGTTACAGTAAAGTTACAGTGTAATATGTGGAGATAAATTTGAATATTACAATACATTATAACAATAAAAGAGGTTTTAAATTTACTTATTGCAAAAATCTTTTAAAGTTGCACCACATCATAAAATGTTCCACAGCAAGTTTAAGTGTGTGGATACACACTAGCTTGTAGACTCGAGTTACGTAGATGTATTTATCAAAAGAATAATGGTTCAGCACATTGCTTGCACTCTATACTAATGTCTGTTCCTGACCTTATTAGCTTGTTATATTTAAGCTGGTGTACCCCATCCCAGAAATAGTTCTATTTTATTATGTAATATACTCAGCATTGTGCCACCTCTTTGATACTCTTGTTGAATGACAGTTTAATGATCCGTTATGTAATTTGTGCTACATGTCACTATATCACTTTCAGATACAGTATTCTTTCCATGAGCTGCCTACTGATTCCCATGCTGTAAGTACCACCTCTCAGTGTAGTAGAAGATTACAAACTCTTTTTGTGTCGCCTGCGTAAAGCTGGTGACACATAGGTATTGCTTTGTCGGCAGTGTCCGAACAGAGGTTTTCGTGCGATAACTTGAGTTTCCTTGGGCCGATCAAACTCAAACTTCATGCAGTGCTTCCTTACCAAAACTGCTTGCTTTGGATTGCTTTTCAGGTCTGAAGGTCAAAGGTTAAGGTCACTGTTACTATAAATAGAAAATCTGTTTTTGTGCGATAACTTGAGTTTCCTTGGGCCCGATCAAACTCAAACTTCATGCAGTGCTTCCTTACCAAAACTGCTTGCTTTGGATTGCTTTTCAGGTCTGAAGGTCAAAGGTTAAGGTCACTGTTACTATAAATAGAATATCTGTTTTTGTGCGATAACTTGAGTTTCCTTGGGCCCGATCAAACTCAAACTTCATGCAGTGCTTCCTTACCAAAAGTGCTTGCTTGGGATTGCTTTTCAGGTCCAAGGGTCAAGGTCACTGTTACTATAAATAGAAACTTCACTAAAACTGTATACTGGAAGGCTTCGATCTACCAGTTGACTCACCGTGTATACCTCTGAAATGCCGTCTAACTCCAAATGTTATTGACAATACTAGCTGTTTAACATCATAATCCACAAGTTTATTCATTTATTTATGGGAAACCATCCGACAAATCATACAAATTAAACTTGGAATTGAGACAATGAGTATCCATAGTTCCTTAAAACTCAGAGTATTCTTCCCAGAATAACAGATTATATAACAAAATGATGCCATCCAAAAACACAATCTATGATTATTGCTTACTTTTAACATTTTTTCTTGAAATGAAAAGTGTGTCTATTTCTTCGGAATCTCCCAGCTACCTGCGCAGGCGACACATCCACTTCCGTGGAATTCTTGTGTTTTTCTATACATGGCATTTTCAAATAGGCAACCAGACTATATCAGTATATGTTATACACCTACTTCATTTTTCAAATATCAATCTTCTGATTTGAACTATGTTGCATTTTTAGCTCACCTGCCCGCGGCGTCTGTCCGACTTTCATTTAAACGACTTCTTCTGAAGAACCAGAAGGCATAGAATCTTTATATTTGGCAGGTGGCTTCCTGGGATAGAGCCTGACAAAGTTTGAAAACGAAAATGATATGTCTAATTCTTAAAACAACTTCTTCTGAAGAACTGAAAGTTATAGAACCTAAATATTTGGCTGTAGACTTCCTGGGAAAGAATTGAACAAAGTTTGAGAATGAAAATGACCTTGACCTACTTTTAAGGTCACATGAGGCAGATATATCAAACACTTCAAACGACTTCTTCTGAAGAACTGGAAGGTATAGAACCTTTATATTTGGCTTGTAGCTTCCTGGGAAAGACCCGAACAAAGTTTGAGAATGAAAATGACCTTGACCTACTTTCAAGGTCACAGGAGTCATATGTCTAACTCTTAGAACAACTTCTTCTGAAGAACTGGAAGGTATATAACCTTAATATTTGGCTGGTTATTTCCTGGGAAAGAGCCAAACAAAGTTCGCGAATGAAAATGACCTTGACCTACTTTCAAGGTCACAGGAGTCAGATATGTCGAACGCTTAGAGCAACTTCTTCTGAAGAACTGAAAGGTAAAGACTCTTTATATTTGGCTGGTGGCTTCCTGGGAGAGAGCAGGACAAAGTTTAAAAACGAAAAAGACCTTGACTTACTTTCAAGGTCACAGGAGTCAGATATGTCTAATACTTAAAACAACTTTGTTATGAAGAACTGAAAGTTATAGAACCTAAATATTTGGCTGGTGACTTCCTGGGAAAGAGTCCAACAAAGTTTGAGAATTAAAATGACATTGACCTACTTTCAAGGTCACAGGAGTCAGATATGTCTAAGGCTAAGAACAACTTCTTCTAAAGAACTGGAAGGTATAGAACCTTAATATTTGGCTGGTTATTCCCTGGGAAAGAGCCAAACAAAGTTTGCAAATGAAAATGACCTTGACTTACTTTCAAGGTCACAGAGTTCAAATATGTCAAACGGTTCAAACTACTTGTGATGAAGAATTAAAAGGCATAAATTCATAATATTTGGCTGGTGACTTCCTGGGATAGAGCTCACCAAAGTTTGCGAATCAAAATTACCTCAACCTACTTTAGAGGTCACAGAGGTCAACAACATTTTAAAGGATTTGTTCTTAAGAACTAAAAGAAATGGATTCATTAGATTTGGCTAGTAGCTTTTTGGAATAGAGCTAACCAATTTGAGAAGAAAAATGACATTGACCTACTTACAAGGTCACAGGAAAAAATATGTCAAGCAACTTCTGAAGAAGAATCAAAAAGCATAGAATCTTATAATAATATTTTGCTGGTAGTTTCAACAGATGGAGCCAACAAAGTTTGCAAGGGAATTAAATTTAGTGCAATATAATATTTAATGAGAATATTTTGCTATGACTGCTTAAAGATTCAGGTGATCAATACAGGCCCTCTTGGGCCTCTTGTTATTTTTGTTTCTTAAAAGTCTTTAATTTCCAGTACTATTCTTGCTCAAAAGCAAAGATGTGTGAGCTTTTGCCATAGTACAACATGCAATATCAGTCAGCATTTTCTCTGTACAGTAGTGTTTTACATTTAGTTTATTTCCCAAGACCAAGATCCTTTCACCATTACAACACAGAGACCCATTTACCTCTGTGATGTGATTTGATGGAAATTCATCATTTTACAAACTAGTTAAATATTACTACATTGTAAATGATTTATAATAATGTCATGTGTTCCTGAAACATTATAATTATTAGTTTGTGTCTTCACTACAAGTGGTGATTCTTAAATTCCAATTCTCTACCCACTTCTGTAGGTCAAGGTCACTGGCATATTGGCGTGGTTTCTTAGCATCTTATATTAAAGCAATTCTTTATTCCACAATAGTTTTTGAAAGATTCCCTACTGGAGCATGCTGGGAAGATTTCTGGGGACACACAGGCAATTATTGTGACACAGGTAAGTTCAACACTCACAAAATATGTATGCAGACACATTGTCACACATATATGTCACACTTTTTATTGTTAAGCATACACCCACATCACATTCTAACCCATGTGAGGTTTCCTACGTTCATACTGCATATGGGTTCTCTACACAGATACCCCATCATTATCACACTAGTCCACATTGCATACAGGTTGGAAGATTATGTTTAAAGATCATGAATTTATTATTGTACAATTTTACCATTCCAATCTCCAAGCTGATGTTGATTTATTTGTCTGTCCTACAGCTCAGTCTCGCCCTAGCTGACCTAGCACTACTGATGGCTTCCTGGAAGGATGCCACACTAGAGCTTGTACAACGGTAGGACTAAAGGGAAGGAGTTCACCATCTGTGGCTACCTTGGGGGCTATATTAGACTGGAACAATATCATGGAAAGGAAGTGTGGAATATTTCAAGACTGATATTGAGGGGAACATATAATGCAGGCATTCAAAATTTTCAGTTCTGAGGTATTTCAGCTGTTGGTAATTTTGACATAACCTTGAAGATGACATGTTGATATTGCGGACAATTTTAGCTCACCTGGCCCGGAGGGCCAAGTGAGCTTATGGCATGGTGCATCGTCCGTCCGGCGTCAACTTTTTACTTTAAACAACTTCTTCTCAGTAACCAATAGGCCTGAATAATCAAGAGGCCTAGTGTGATGATATTTGGTCAGTTTCATGCTGAAATGAAGGGCTACCAAGTTTGTTCAAATAAATGACCTTGATTTATATTCAAGGTCCTTGGGGTCAAATATGTTTAAAACCTTCAAACAACTTCTTCTGAATAACCGAGAGGCCTAGGGTGATGATATTTTTACCAGTAACATGCTGGTATGAAGGGCTACTAATATAAGTTTTCTCAAATAAATGACCCTGACTTATATTCAAGGTCAAAGGGGTCAAATATGTTTAAAACCTTTAAACAACTTCTGAATAACCAAGGGGCCTAGTGTGATGATATTTGGCCAGTTACATGCTGAAATGAAGGGCTACCAAGTTTGTTCAAATAAATGACCTTGATTTATATTCAAGGTCACTGGGGTCAAATATGTTTAAAACCTTTAAACAACTTCTTCTGAATAACCGAGCAGCCTAGGGTGATGATATTTGGCCAGTAACATGCTGGGGTGAAGGGCTACCAAGTTTGTTCAAATGAATGACGTTTGCCCATTTTTTTTTAATTACTTTAAACTTAAGTCAATACGCTGATATTTTGCCTGTAGCTTTATTTTAGTCTTCTTTTAAGGTTACAATTGTGAGATTAATACCAGGTGAGCGATGCAGGCCCATCGTGCCTCTCATTAAATTTGTTTGGGTTATTTTTGTAGGTTCGGCACTAATGTACACCAGCTACCATTTCTGTTGGAGGTGTTGACTGTTCTACCTGAGGAGGTAAGTGTCTGTTACCAGTGATCTGCAGATATGGTGTTATTGTGGAATAGACATTTTGATGTTTTTACTAGGTGATATTTTGATCATGATGTTAATTCATCAATTAATGATGTCATCTTTATATGATAGTACCTTATAGGACAGTCTCTTTGAAGCTGAACTTTCTACACAGGTGAATAGCCGGTCACTGCGCCTGGGATCTAACAGAAGGAGTGAGGTAATGGAGGATCTAACCAAGGCCTCTTCTGTTGTACTACAGTTACTGGTAGGTACACAGATCAGCAGATATCTAAATGTCAAACTCATATACACTTATAAAAACGCTCCAATCAATGGTTCAGTGTTTATAAAATGTGTTAGACCATGGATGTCTTACTAGACACGAGTCTGCAAGGTTATGCAAAGAAAATTTGTAAAATCTTCTGCAATTTTATAATAAACAGCAGTAAAATTCTGTATTCTCCATGACATCATCACCAATGTAGGCACATGGTAAGACATTTCCCACCTGATTTGTTGCTACGCTTTCTTAAAAAAACACACACAAAAATTCATACCAAGTTCTTTTATTGGTTTCAATATCAGCCCATCTAAATAAAATGTATTCGTCATTTTCAGGGCATCAGCAAGAGTAGTAGATTTGATATGTGCTACTTTGTAATGGTATGTTTATACAGCACTATAGGTAATGATTGAGGCCTATGGTTTGTGTGTTGTAGACAGCATGTCTTGAGACTTGTGCGAATGACCCCCGAGCACAGGCCAAAGTGTTTCGCTGCATGGGCAGCTGGTTTGCCCTTGGAGTTGTGCAGGATGACTGCATCACACACAATAAACTTCTGATGGCTCCCTTCCAGGTGCTGGTGAGTTACCTTTGTTTACTGCGTATATTACACGTGATGCATAATATCTTATAATGTAAGATTCCAATAAGATCTGTGGGTTTTCATGCTGACAATCTCTCCTCAATGTTTTTTTATTGCTTCATCTCGCTTGCCCAAATGAAAAAAACTTCCTTTTGACTTTGAAGAGCTGTGATTACATCATTCGAACCTCACTTCCGGGGGTTCTGAATGCTATGACAATTCAACAAAGGTATCGTGATAGACGCTCTTTGTTTATCCTGTTATTTAATGCTTGTTTCTTTTGATATTAAAGTTATTAACCATCAATTATATCAATTTTTGGCTATCTTATGTCTTGGTGGGCAATGCTAGTTAACCACAAGCGGACCAGTAATTGAGCGCCATTCACGAGGTGTTTAATATTGAGTCCATGTTGACAGTCATCACATCTCGCCTAGGGTTTATTGTCCGATGCTTACACTGGTTCCATGTCTGAAGGCCGACTATAAACTAGGTGATTTGCCATGATGGGTAGGAATTTTAGTGTCTGTTAGCAGCATTACACATGTACAAGAGACCGCATTTTCGTCAGGGGAAATGGCAGGGACCACTTATGACAGGGGTCAGTGTATAACAGGTGGCTACTAACACAGGGTTGACTGTACACGAAAAAGCTGTTGTACTAAAAAATGTTCATTCTTAGTAAATTATATCCTATAGAATCTGAGATATAATTGACCTTGTATATGTGATATTCTACAGATATATAATTGACCTTGTGTATGTGATATTCTATATATATATAATTGACCTTGTGTAGATGATATCCTGTATATATATAATTGACCTCGTGTATGTGATATCCTGTACATATATATATCATTGACCTTGTGTAGGTGATATCCTGTATATATATAATTGACCTTGTGTAGATGATATCCTGTATATATATAATTGACCTTGTGTATGTGATATCCTGTATATATATAATTGACCTTGTGTATGTGATATTCTATATATACATAATTGACCTTGTCTAGGTGATATCCTGTATATATATATAATTGACCTTGTGTATGTGATATTCTATATATACATAATTGACCTTGTCTAGGTGATATCCTGTATATATATAATTGACCTTGTGTAGGTGATATCCTGTGTATATATATAATTGACCTTGTGTATGTGATAGCCTGTACATATATATATAATTGACCCTGTGTAGGTGATATCCTGTATATATATACAATTGACCTTGTGTATGTGATATCCTGTGTATATATATATAATTGAGTTTGTGTAGGTGATATCCTGTGTATATAATATAATTGCCCTTGTGTAGATGATATTATATATATATAATTGACCTTGTGTAGGCGATATCCTGTGTATATAATATAATTGACCTTGTGTATGTGATATCCTGTGTATATAATATAATTGACCTTGTGTATGTGATAGCCTGTACATATATATATAATTGACCCTGTGTAGGTGATATCCTGTATATATATAATTTACATTTTGTATGTGATATCCTGTGTATATATATATAATTGACTTTGAGTAGGTGATATCCTGTGTATATAATATAATTGACCTTGTGTAGATGATATCCTGTATATATATAAATGACCTTGTGTATGTGATATCCTGTATATATATATAATTGACCTTGTATATGTGATATTCTACAGATATATAATTGACCTTGTGTAGGTGATATTCTATATATATATAATTGGCCTTGTGTAGGTGATATCCTGTGTATATATATAATTGACCTTGTGTAGGGGATATCCTGTATATATATAATTGACCTTTTGTAGGTGATATCCGTATATATATATAATTGACCTTGTGTAGGCGATATCCTGTATATATATAATTGACCTTGTTTAGGTTATATCCTGTATATATATAATTGACCTTGTGTAGATGATATCCTGTATATATATAAATGACCTTGTGTATGTGATATCCTGTGTATATAATATAATTGACCTTGTGTAGATGATATCATATATATATATAATTGACCTTGTGTAGGAGATATCCTGTGTATATAATATAATTGACTTTGTGTAGATGATATTATATATATATATAATTGCCATTGTGTAGGTGATATCCTGTATATATATATAATTGTCCTTGTGTAGGTGATATCCTGTATATATATAATTGACCTTGTGTAGTTGATATCCTGTGTATATATATATAATTGACTTTGTGTAGGTGATATCCTGTGTATATAATATAATTGACCTTGTGTAGATGATATTATATATATATATAATTGTCTTTGTGTATGTGATATTCTATATATATATAATTGACCTTGTGTAGGTGATATCCTGTATATATATATAATTGACCTTGTGTAGGTGATATCCTGTATATATATATAATTTACCTTGTGTAGGTGATATCCTGTATATATATAATTGACCTTGTGTAGGTGATATACTGTATATATATAATTGACCTTGTGTAGGTGATATCCTGTATATATATATAATTGACCTTGTGTAGGTGATATCCTGTGTATATAATATGATTGACCTTGTGTAGATGATATTATATATATATATAATTGACTTTGTGTATGTGATATTCTATATATATATAATTGACCTTGTGTAGGTGATATACTGTATATATATAATTGACCTTGTGTAGGAGATATCCTGTATATATTTAATTGACCTTGTGTAGGTGATATCCTGTATATATTTAATTGACCTTGTGTAGGTGATATCCTGTATGTATATAATTGAGCTTGTGTAGATGATATTATATATATATATAATTGGCCTTGTGTAGGTGATATCCTGTGTATATAATATGATTGTCCTTGTGTAGATGATATTATATATATATATAATTTACCTTGTGTAGGTGATATCCTGTATATATATATATAATTGATCTTGTGTAGGTGATATCCTGTATATATATAATTGACCTTGTGTGGGTGATATCCTGTATATATATATAATTGACCTCGTGTAGGTGATATCCTGTATATATATATAATTGACCTTGTGTAGGGGATATCCTGTATATATATATATAATTGACCTTGTGTATGTGATATCCTGTATATATATATAATTGACCTTGTGTAGGTGATATACTGTATATATATAATTGACCTTGTGTAGGAGATATCCTGTATATATTTAATTGACCTTGTGTAGGTGATATCCTGTATATATATATATAATTGACCTTGTGTAGATGATATATATACATAATTGACCTTGTGTAGGTGATATCCTGTGTATATATATATATTTGACCTTGTGTAGATGGTATTATATATATATATAATTGACCTTGTGTAGGGGATATCCTGTATATATATATATAATTGACCTTGTGTAGGAGATATCCTGTATATATATAATTGACCTTGTGTAGGAGATATCCTGTATATATTTAATTGACCTTGTGTAGGTGATATCCTGTATATATTTAATTGACCTTGTGTAGGTGATATCCTGTATATATTTAATTGACCTTGTGTAGGTGATATCCTGTATATCTATATAATTGACCTTGTGTAGGTGATATACTGTATATATATAATTGGCCTTGTGTAGGTGATATCCTGTATATATATAATTGACCTCGTGTAGGTGATATCCTGTATATATATATAATTGACCTTGTGTAGATGATATATATACATAATTGACCTTGTGTAGGTGATATCCTGTGTATATATATATATTTGACCTTGTGTAGATGGTATTATATATATATATAATTGACCTTGTGTAGGGGATATCCTGTATATATATATATAATTGACCTTGTGTAGATGATATATATACATAATTGACCTTGTGTAGGTGATATCCTGTATATCTATATAATTGACCTTGTGTAGGTGATATACTGTATATATATAATTGACCTTGTGTAGGAGATATCCTGTATATATTTAATTGACCTTGTGTAGGTGATATCCTGTATATATTTAATTGACCTTGTGTAGGTGATATCCTGTATATATATATAATTGACTTTGTGTAGGTGATATCCTGTATATATATATATAATTGATCTTGTGTAGGTGATATCCTGTATATATATAATTGACCTCGTGTAGGTGATATCCTGTATATATATATAATTGACTTTGTGTAGGTGATATCCTGTATATATATATATAATTGACCTTGTGTAGATGATATATATACATAATTGACCTTGTGTAGGTGATATCCTGTGTATATAATATAATTGACCTCGTGTAGATGATATTATATATATATATAATTGACCTTGTGTATGTGATATTCTATATATATATAATTGACCTTGTGTAGGTGATATCCTGTATATATATAATTGGCCTTGTGTAGGTGATATCCTGTGTATATATAATTGACCTTGTGTAGGTGATATTATATATATACATAATTGACCTTGTGTAGGTGATATCCTGTATATATATATAATTGACCTTGTGTAGATGATATATATACATAATTGACCTTGTGTAGGTGATATCCTGTGTATATAATATAATTGACCTTGTGTAGATGATATTATATATATATATAATTGACCTTGTGTAGGTGATATCCTGTATATATATAATTGACCTTGTGTAAGTGATATCCTGTATGTATATAATCGACCTTGTGTAGATGATATTATATATATATATAATTTACCTTGTGTAGGTGATATCCTGTATATATCTATAATTGACCTTGTGTAGATGATATATATACATAATTGATCTTGTGTAGGTGATATCCTGTATATATATATATAATTGAGCTTGTGTAGATGATATTATATATATATATAATTGACCTTGTGTATGTGATATTCTATATATATAATTGACCTTGTGTAGGTGATATCCTGTATATATATAATTGACCTTGTGTAGGTGATATCCTGTATATATATAATTGACCCCTGTGTATGGGATTATCAGCTGCTCACTGACACCTTTTCGCACCCGAAGTTTTGGACATCATTCTTAATTTACCAATTAATAAATTTCTGTGCAACATTCTCAATCAGTTTCAGAGAGTTCCACAGCCCTCGTTGTGGTAGTATGCCTTCTCCTTCATGTATACTGAGTAACTTTTACCCTCATAGATGTTACAACTCTTTGAGATTGAAGCACGGAATTTAAATAGGTCAAGCAGCAAGGACACGAGCAGTCTTAATCATACTATTAATATTATAATAGTGTCAATTGAAGAGTCATATAACTTCACAGAGTTCCACAGCCCTCGTTGTGGCAGTACCAACATCCCTGTGGGTACTGTGAAACTTTTACCTTCGTAGATTTTCCAACTCCATGAAATTTATGCATTACAAGATCCTAGTCCACTGCTGCTTAATTTGTCAATTATTGATTACTGAGACAATCTTCAATCCAAGTAGAGATAGGGATTTTTTAGAATGTATGTATAAAGTGTATGTTGTTGTATATAAACATGTAAATTTAAATGTTGCAAGTTTTTGTAATAGATTCAGAGAAAACAAGTACTGTCGTTTGTGTTATTATTAATGGTATAAATATATTATTGACCTTGTGTAGGTGATATCCTGTATATATATAATTGGTCTGGAAAACTCCATCTTAACTACCTGGCAGATTTTATTGAAACTTCATTTGAATGATCAGTATATTATGTAGCTGTGTACTTGCATTTTGAATTTTGATTTCAACACTTCATGATATAATTATGCCCCTTTGTGCCAAAAACTTGTCTGCAAAACTCATCCTTAATTAACGGGTGGATCCCATTGAAAGTTTGCATAGCTGATCACTATCTGATGTACTTGTGCACTGGCATTTTAATTTCAGATTATAACATTTTTAAGGGAGTATTGGCCCTTTGTGACAGAGTTATGCCCCTTTGTGCTAAAAATTAGTTTCACTTGTTTATTTAGCCTCTACAGGGGCAACAAGCAGCCGGAATGCAGGGGATATTAGTTAGCCCATAAGCAACAGTTCTAGTTGACCCTGTGTAGGTAATATCCGGTATTTATATATAATTGACCATGAATAATTTATATTTAAAGATATATGATTCACTTTGAGTAGGAGTCCTGTAGATGTGTAATTGACCCTGATAAAGGGTCCTATAGATACGTGTTTGACCAGAAATAGTTCATATCTTATAACATATATTAAAATTGTATTTTAAGCATGTATGTCAAAACTAGATAATTTTGTATGGATCATTCCTATGCATACACTACACTATATATTAACAACTTGTAGGTGGTGCAAGACTGTCCATCTGTTTTACATGAGGCTGCCACAGACTGCATATGCTCTGCTCTGTATTGTGCAGATGTAAGTACCGCCAACCATCAGCAAACAAGCCAGGTATCTATCTTCTTTAATACAAGTCTCAGACCTAAAACAACAACAATAATGGCTATACTGTTTCAATGGCATGTGGAGTCAGTGTTGTATTCGTAAGGGCTTCACCTGACTAACGGTTTCATTAAAACCACTTACTTAACCAGGAACAAATGGTGTTTGGCTGAAGTTTGAGAGAGGGTATTGATACAACTAAATTTGTTTGCCTTTATTGACCCACCACTAAGCTGTGTTTGTTTTCTGAAGGACTTACGGAAGCATTTACAGCTGGCAGAAGCCTTGTACCATGGAAGTCTGACATTACAGGAAGCCTACCACATGACTGTCGCCCTAGAGGACACAGACAAGTACGTCTTATATCAAATCAAAAACATGTGTGATCTTTGAAAAAAAAGTCATTAAGAAAATCATCACAGTTTATTAAATCTCCAAACTAAATTGCATTTTAACCAAATATACCAACAGATGGTTCATTGTTTGAACCCCAATTTTGAATGTCTCTGGTACAGGAGAATATAAATATTTGATGTCCTGTGGAAGCTATCCAATATGTGGTGATGTAAAGGATGTCAGATATTCGTGTTCAGTGTCATGTGAGGATGGTGGATATCAGTATATATATATTTGGTATCCTGTACAGAATGTAAGATATCAGTATATATATATTTGGTATCCTGTACAGAATGTAAGATATC